TTCAGCAATGTTAAAAGCTAAACAACAGATCTACCTCCGGACGCTGCTGCTTTAGTCAATTGCAACTAACAACCCATTAAAGACAGCGCAGGGGGAACCGGATTCTCTCCTGCAAAGCGACATAAATCCAGCGAAAACCCATTAAACCACCACCACCACCACGCAGCCACGCAGCACTACACACCACAGAAAACAACAGGTATACAACACAATAGGGCTTTTTTTTCCTGGTTACCTCCTCGGGATCCAGTGTGGCACAAAGCACTGGGAGAGCCTCCTTTTTTTTTGCAACGCGCTTCGGTAATTTTCATTAAAAAAAGAGGGAAGGAGGTGAAAGGAGAGAGAGAAGCAGGAATAAATGGGTAGTAATTCGGTAAAATAAAATAAAATGAAATAAAATAAGGTAAAATAAGATAAATGAACTAAAGTCTGCTGGTGTGTCTCCGGGCCATGGATGTGCAGGATCCCGATCGTTAGAAGTTTGCGGATGGGTTGCCTGGAGATTTGGTTACAATCAGGTTCATTATTATTATTTTTTTTCCTCCTGAAACAAGTGAAGGCGATGGTTACTGCTGTCAATCTTGGCAATCAATGTGAGCGGCCATGTCGTAAGTATTCAAAGCATTTCCCGTCGTGCAACATCAGAAAGTGAGTGGCCAGGGCATTGATCTGAGGAAGGCAAAAGGAGGCAGGGCTCCCCCGCCCAGACAGCACAGGCAAGATGAGACAACAGAGAGAGAGAGAGAGAGAGAGAGGGAGAGGGAAGGAGAGAGAGAGGGAGAGGGAGACTGAGAACGAGCGAGCGGGGAAAGCAACAACTGAAGAGAAAGTGAGCACAAAACAGAAAGTGAAATCACCCCAGGCTGCCAGCCGCATCCCCGAGAAGCTATCACCACTCACATTGCTATTAGACAAATGAAACCCTAAACCTCTCTACTCTAATGACCACTGATTGCCCGGAGTGGTGAGGAAAGGTACTAGAAAGTTACCGGGGAGGGGGTGCGAGGGCGGGGAGGGGGAGGGCGGCGGGGGCCGGAAAAGGAGGAGGGGGAG